AGGTTAGAGTGGGAGAGAGCCAAAGCATAAGAGACTGTTGAGAACTGAGAGCAAACTGAGGGTTGATGGGGGGTGGGAGGGAGGAGAGGGTGGGTGATGGGTATTGAGGAGGGCACCTTTTGGGATGAGCACTGGGTGTTGTATGGAAACCAATTTGACAATAAATTTCATATATAAATAAAAAAAAACTGAGAACAAACTGAGGGCTGATGGGAGGTGGGAGGGAGGGGAGAAGGGTGATGGATATTAAAGAGGGCATCTTTTGGGATGGCACTGGGTGTTGTATGGAAACCAATGTGACAATAAATGTCATATATTAAAAAAAAAAAAATGTCTGGTAGAATTCTCCTGGGAAGCCACTGGCTGAGGACTCTTATTTGTTGGGAGAGTTTTGATAACTAATTCAATTTATTTTCTGGTTTTGGCCCTGTTAAAATTTTCTATTTCTTCCTGTTTGTGTTCTGGTAGGTGTTAGTTTCTAGGAATTTGTCCATTTCTTTCAGACTGTCCAGTTTGTTGACGTATAGTTTTCCATAATATTTTTTTATTATTGTTTGTACATCTGTGGTGTTGTTTGTGATCTTTCCTCTTTCATTTGTGATTTTATCTATCTGGGTCCTCTCTCTTTTCTTTTTGAGAAGTCTCAGTAGGAGTTTATCAATTTTGTTTATTATTTCAAAAAAACAGCTTTTAGTTTCATTGGAAAACTGGACAGCAAAATGCAGAAGAATGAACCTGGACCACTTTGTTACACCATACACAAAAATAAATTCAAAGTGGATGAAAGGCCTAAATGTGAGACAGAAACCATCAAAATCCTACAGGAGAAAACAGGCAACAATTTCTTTGACCTCAGCCGCAGCAACTTCTTACTTGACATGTCTCCAGAGGCAAGGGAAATAAAAGCAAAAAGGAGCTATTGGGACCTCATCAAGATAAAAAGCTTCTGCCCAGTGAAGAAAACAATCAACAAAACTAAAAGGCAACCAACAGAATGGGAAAAGATATTTGCAAATGACATACCAGATAAAGGGTTAATAGCCAAAATCTATAAAGATCTTTTCAAACTGAACACCCCAGAAACAAATAATCCAGTGAAGAAATGGGCAGAAGGCATGAATAGACACTTTTCCTAGGAAGACATCCAGATGGCTAACAGACACATGAAAAGATGCTCAACATCACTCATCATCAGAGAAATACAAATCAAAACCATAATACCACCTCAAGCATGACAGAATGGTTGAAATGAACAACTCAGGAAACAACAGATGTTGGCAAGGGTGCAGAGAAAGGGGAACCCTTTTTGCACTGTTTGTGGGAATGCAAAGTGGTGCAGCCTCTCTGGAAAATTGTATAGAGTTTCCTCAAAAAATTAAAAATAGAACTATCCTATGACCCAGTGATTGCACTACTAGGTAATTATCCAAAGGATTAAAAAATGCTGATTTGAAGGGGCACATGCACCCCAGTGTTTATAGCAGCGATATCAACAATAGCCAAATTATGGAGGCACCTGTGTGGCTCAGTTGGTTAAGCATCTGACTCGATTTCAGCTCAGGTCATGATCTCATGGTTCATGAGTTCAAGCCCTGCGTTGGGCTTCACACACTGATAGTTCAGAGCCTGCTTAGGAGTCTCTCAATCTCTCTCTCTCTCTCTCCCTCTCTCTCTCTCATATAAACTTAAAATAAATAGCCAAATTATGAAAAGAGCCCAAATGTCCATCAATTGATGAATGGATTAGATAGATAGATAGATAGATAGATAGATAGATATAGACATAGATATAGATATAGATACATACATAGATATATACATATCTATACATATATACACATATCTATATACATATCTATACATATATGTATATATTGTATACATATATACAATGGAATACTACTCAGCAATCAACAAATGAAATCTTGCCATTTGCAACAATGTGGATGGAACTTCACTTATGCTAAGTGAAATAAGTCAGTCAGAGAAAGACAAATATATGATTTCATTCATATGTGGAATTTAAGAAACACAACAGATGAACATAGGGGAGAGAAAGGAAAAATAAGATAAAAACAGAGAGGGAAACAAACCATAAGAGACTCTTAAACACAGAGAACAAACTGAGGGTTGCTGGAGGGGAGGTGGGTGGGGGGATGGGCTGAATGGGTGATGGGTCTCAAGGAGAGGACTTGTTGGGATGAACACTGGGTGTTATATTGTAAGTTACAAATCACTGGTTCTACTCCTGAAACCAACAGTACACTGTATGTTAACTGACTTGAATTTAAATAAATAAAACTTTAAAATAATAAAAAATAATGAATATATATCATAAGACTCATACAATAGAATTAATAGAACATTTTAATATTTGTAATATTTTTGATAGTTCCCAGCTGCAACAATATATATCACAATATATATCAATGGTATAAATATACATATATATGTACCACAATATATATCAATGGTAGATAAGCAAATACATTATATCATATTTATTCATTGGAAAATTATAAAGAAACAGAATTGAAGGAATTTCCTACATAAATCTCACATTCATAATATAAAGTAAAAGTAGCCAATTCTACATTTCCTTTATAAAAAAAAATCTAAAAACATTTGAAGTGACTATTAACATATACAATGTGTGAGTCAATAGAACGATAACCTACCTTTGGGTATGATGAAGGATATAATTTGAAGGGGATGAAGTAAAATTCTATTTGCTAACCTGGTATTAGTGACATGGATGTTCATTTGGTGATATTCTATCATATTTAAAACGATTAACTTTAATGCATTATAATTTAAAAATTGAAGAACTTAAAATTTTTTTTAATGTTTATTTATTTTGAGAGAGAGAGAAAGAGTATGAGCAGGGGATGGGCAGAGAAAGAGAGAGAGGGAGAGAGAGAATCCAAAGCAGGCTCCATGCTCAGAGCAGAGCCTGACGTGGGGCTCAACTCATGACCACAAGATCATGACAGAGAGATCACAACAGAGAGATTACGACCCAAGCTGATATCAAGAGTCAGTTGTTTACCTAACTGAGCCATCCAGGCATCTCAATTGAAGTACTTTTTAAAATTAATGTTAATGTCCATGACCCATTTATGAGGGCACTTGTTGGGATGAGCACTGGATGTAATATGTAAGTGACAAATCACTAAATTCTACTCCTAAAACCAGTATTACACTATATAACTAACTTGGGCTTAAATAAATAAGAAATAAATAAGATGAATATTAAGCTCTAAAAACATTTGCACATTTTAGAACTCACAAATACCTTAGGTGTCATCGTACCTAGACTACTCCTTCAATTAAAAGAAAGTAGGAGAAAAAAATATATAATGAGTTATATGAGGTCAATGACTATGTAAAAAATGAATTAGGATTAAGTCATGAACTTATCCTGCTTTCCCCGAACCACCCCAGTTATATCAATGAAATTCCACGTGCTGGGAAAGCCCTCAGTTCTGGGTATATCAGGACCATTTATCACTCAGGATGTTAACTGACTGATGCTTGCTTAGTCCCAGTGTACTGCTGCTGCTTCTACCCACCTGCTTTGGTTTTGCCTTCCCATATGGAAGATATTATGCCAGACATCCTGTACCCAAAGATCCTTGGATTGGGATATGTAGGTAGCAGAGGGTACTACAACAGACAGATGCTTATGGGAGTCTTTAATCGGGCTCTGTGGGGGAAACAGACTTGGGCTTAGGCATGATTCAGTTCATCTGTGTAAACATGTCAGCATCATGCCCCTCAATCCAGAGATATTCCCATTCTATGTACAACATAAGGACCAAACCTGGGGAAGGAAAACTGTGCTGATCCTACCCAGCTCAGTGGGAACTTGATCACATGCTGTGATGATCACTGAAGCAAGACCAATGTTGATGATGTGAATAACTTTCTTTCATCTGAAAATGTTTCTATGAGTTATTCTCAAATAGAAAACATATTAAACACTTATTTTGTAAAAATTCATATTTAGGAAACAACTTCCTTTTTTACAATTCCTCTAGTGACTATGGAAAACAATGTAAACACCAACAAGGAAAGTCCTGCCCATTGGTCTAAACTTTGGGGGTCCAGCGCATAAAAGCCCCAGATCCAGAGGAGGCACCAAAATCTGAAAACCTCACCTCCGGACAGGACCTGCCCACCCTCCACCCCTGACACCA